TGCTTGCATTGCACTTCACCTCTTATTTGTTTAAAACATCAGTGTGTAATTTTGTTAAGGCAGAGCATAAGGCCATACCTATAGTTTACACTTTAGAGTGCTTCTACTACTTTTTACTTTGTGTGCCTATATTTTTTATATTTATTTTTATATGCTAGCTTTTCTTTTAAATAATGTTTTGTTGAATATAAGGATCTATTCTTGCATTATGCTCCTCTAAGAATTTTACGTCACCTTTGCTTTGTGATAGTTAATCCCAACTAGTACTTTGTTGTAACAACACTCTACATCTTTACTAGATGTGGTGCAGTAACTTGACAACAATAAACTCTTGACAACTGCTAGTGACATAACAATAGGCTTTAGAGATCAAAGCATATAATTTTTGTTTGTTGAAAGGAACAATTATACTTGTGGTAGTTATTTTGTGGGATTAACAACAGCATAGACCATTCTTTCTAGTAGTTTCTATTAGTCTACCATATGCTATTATATGTTGTTAGATGCATGACTTGCTAACAGTTCAATCCTCTAAATAACACTCCCAAACCTCTTTTTTATCTCATTACTTCTTTAGGTCTGTTTTACACTTGAATTTTATTCCAACATCTTTATATATGCACTATTATTTATTATTGGCAATACTAAATGGGTGGAGGCTATTGCTCTCAAGATAACAAATTAACATTCTATAGTAGAGTTCTTATATGATCACATCATATGTCAATTTGGTATTCTCGTGACCTTGATATCTAGTTAAGGGTATGTCATCAAGCAATTTTTATAGGGGCTTAAACTCTAATAACACTTCTCTAGCAATTGTTGCCACCAATATACCAATAATTAAGTTGAGTGATCCAATAAGATTTTGAAATCCATTTTTGTGTTATTGGAGGTAAATTGAGGACAAATAGACTTTGTGTCTGCACTCATTGCCCAGATTAAACAATGTGTAATCTCTTGCTTGAGCTCTAAATTAGAGAGAGATAATAGCAAAATATTTCAAAATTCTTATTTTTTAGTATATAGTTTTTCTATATTTTCAATTAGAGCTAGATTCCCTATAAGAACTCCCTTATCTTTTACTATTCACATCTAGCATCTAGGTGTTATATATTCCACTTTTAGAATACTATTTATGAATATGCTTTTGATTTGTATACACTTTGAATTAATAACCTAGATCAGAACACATGGTGATATTTCAAGGCGAAGATCATTAGAATTGATCACAAAAACATAAGTACTCTCTTAACTTGCATGGAACCTCTAACTAGTGGAGATAATCGTGTGGCACCTCCATCTCACTGCCTAAAGCATCCTTTTAATGGAAATTATTGTGTGGCACTTCCATGTCCTCACTTGAAATCACTATATCACAAAGAACTATCATGTATGAATTGTTCACCTTTGAGTTTGGGGTGTCCACCTCACAAGGCTCCTCCTCCACTGCCATGCCACATAGGGATATATATCACTGCTTTGATAAGAAAATCAATTAAAAAATTCAAATTCTTTCCCACCATTCAAAGTTGCTAAATTAATAACCTCAAAATGGAGAAAAATATTTATTTGGTCCTTCTCAAAGTTGGATTTTCCTTGTTAAAGCTTTTAGCCTCTAATATATGCACCACACCATCATGTAGCAAGAGTAACATTCACTCCATTAAAAACCCAAAAGCTTTGGGTTCTCTGTAGTGTTATCTCCCTCAGAGATAACAAAGGAAATAATCCTCTTGAAGGACGAGCAAGGAAGAAATGTAAAAGTTGCTTAGGAGGTATAATTTACCTTTCAAGGATTTCTTGCTTGGATTTCTAGTTGTAGTGCTCTATCTCAAGGCAAGAGCTCATCTTTTGAACATTCTAGGGCTGGTTAGTGTTAAATGACTATCATAGCATTGGTGTGATGCCTAGACAAAGGCACTCAAGCATAGAATTTTAGCAATTTGATATTAGTTAGAAGTCCTTTAGGAAGAATTAACATGATCTAGCTATTACATTGATAAGCCATTTACAAATACCTATGCATCCAATAGGCTTCCAATACAGCCACAAGCTTATGAATTTGTCTCTTTTCTAAAACATCCTACTAACAGATCACCTTTTATATTTGCATTGGATGGCAATGGTTTTTGCATATTGCCTCGAGATTAGGTGAATTGGCACTTGGTGGACCTCATTATAGCATGGTTATGAATATTTCAAGAATTATAATTATAAATATGTTTATAATTTATAAACACTAGATTAATCAATTTGTATAACATAAAAAGTTTATAGCCTCTCAATATGCCATTTTCATGGCCAACCTACAAAAGCTCACCTGCACCAATGCACCTAATTCACTACTATCATAATCATAAATCACATACTCATCCCCCATATGAAGCTCCACCGGCTGGGCATTAATATGGATTGCCATCTCCTAGCAATAATGGTACATATACATGGATTGGTCTGGGCTATTTTTTATTGGGGCATTATATATATCTCAATGTCCCTTAGGGACTGTTATAAAGAAGATACTTTCATGGTGCTACTCTCTCAACTATAACATTTCACTATCTCCCACCTATTGGTGGTTGTTGCCTTCCAACCGAGGTTGTTGTGGTTGTCTCCTTCGCAAAGGGTTTAATGCCAAATCATCTTATCTTGCTTCCTTTATTACAATATCTAGTGGTCTCCACTTCCATTTGATACCTCCCTCGTATTTCCCTTTATAGTAAGGGATTCATTGCCATTGCCAAGTATTAGGCACCTTCTTTTTGCCATATTCTTGCGACAGCATTTCCTTGAGACGGACAGCTACCAACATGAGCCCTCATTAGTTTGTTATGATCACCAAAATCTGAGCATTCTGTCCCTCAAAATGCCTTTGGTTTCGAGCTTCCCAAAAGTGCTTAAGCCCCGGATACATGCCATATCTCCCACCTAATCTATCCAAAGGCCTCCTAGATTGTAGTCCGATCTCTACTCCAATGGCATCCCAATTGATCTCTAGTGCCTCGATCTGAACATCCCCAATAACCAATCCTTTGCCAAGCCAATCCCATGTTTGACCTCCTTGCCTCTGGGAACCATTGAGTGACATCCCCTTCGCAGATTTCAAAATCTTGCTTGATTTCAAAGCTCCCTAGTCACTTTAGCTATCATTCTCCAGTCTCCTTTGTCACATCACACTCCCATTGGAGGTGTGCTATTATCTCAAATGTGATATATTCCAAACACTTTCAGGCATCCTCTACTTGGAATCATTGTCCTATTGGCAATCTATTCATTGCCACAAGCTAAAAAGTACCTTTTGATTTCTCTTGGATCAGTGACTTCTAGAATGCCACTGTGTTTTCTATCACCTAGTTCACTTCCACCCCTAGTGCAATTCATTTTTGACATAGCTTGGGTACTTCTTCTCTCTCAAACTCCTTATTTACTATCAGTCTGTTTTGCACATCCTTTATTTCCTACATGAAGAAGCCATTAACTTCAATCTCCATGTTGTTAAGTCCTAGTCCATGTCCTCTATGAGCTCCTTGTGCCACTATACTAGATGTCCTTCCCCCTCTAACCAGCATGGCAATTCTACCACATTAGTCTGCTTGCTAACTATCTCAACACTAAAATTCATCCTTTAACTTTGTCATTTGTCACCTATGGCTATTTCTTATTGGAACAACTGTTTTTTATTTTAAATAAATTCTTTTACAACCTTAGGTGATCCAAAATGTAAAAAGTATCTTTTTGAGTGTGGGATTTATATATATAATTAATAATTTTGATTTTCTTATTCCAGATTCTTTATTCTTTTTAGGAAGAAGATTGATGGCCAGAACTAGACAACTTCCATATAACCCTCTTTTATTGCATGACACAAAACTAATAGCACAAGTAGATATGGAGGAAGGTGAAAAAGTGGCAAAAGTATTATATGTTACTATGGAGATTGTAAAAGAAGTGGTATTAAATATCGAGAATGCAAAAGAAGCAACTCTTCTAGTGCAAGATGATGTATCAGGTGTAATGATCATTTCTTTTATATATATATGTATATATAAAAGGAAGAGTGACCTATTTTTGGCTATGTGATACTAAGTAAGTTTGAAATCTAGTTCATCAATAACCTCAAGAATTTCACAGTCCATTTTCCCCTTCACTTTTTTCTTTCCTTTTCTTTTGTCGTTTTGTTTTGCCATTCTTGCAATAGTTATTAACTCTTGGAGGGAAGATAAAATATTCTTCTCAGTTGTATAATGAGGGTGAAATATCAACTCTTCCATACTCATAATCTCATCATTTTTCTTTTCATATTTCTTTGTTTCACTTCCACATTTGGGTGAAAGAACTTCAAGAAGGCATAACATACTTCGTTTGTTGGCACTGGGTCATAACATTTGCAACTTAAAGGATCAAACATCATTTAGCTTCTGGAATTTTCTAGTGGTGTTTGTGTTTCTTAGCTTTGCAAAGAACACAGAAGGTGTCGTATATGGCCTGACTATTAGCAATTCTTTTTCATGCAGAGGGCTCAATCACATTCTTTGTCCCACCATTGCAATCTAGGAAAGCATCCAGTTGGGGTGGTGGGAGTGAACTGAGAAATACTCCTGTGCTACTGTGTGAGCATGTCGATCAGTCAGCTGACCTCAATATCAGGGGTCGTGGGCAGTGCATTCCAGAGCTCTTGGACTTGCTGGGCAAAGTCGGGCACCCATGCTGGCATGACTCGGTCGTGACCACAGCGAGTTCTGCTTGTCGACAGGAGTGTTGTACGCAGTACATGCATCCCAGTCAGACATGAGGGGGCCAGGAACTCTTGGTCAAAGACTAGTTTGGCTGACCAGGATGTAATCGTTCGTACTGCTCCCGTTCCATGTGCGGCACCTCAGGTGGCTCATTGTGTACCAATGTAGAGTTGGGAGGCGCCGTTAGTCATGTGGATGTCCTCCGCTGCTGCCCGGTTCGAGGAGCCCTTCCGCTGTTGTGAGTTGAGCCTGCGAAGTCCGTTGCAATACTAAAAACTTTTAATTGCCCATCCAGCCTCACTGGCTTGATCGGTTAGTGTATAGTTTTATCTTAAGAGTAACATTCCACGAACTAGAGAGTAGAATTTAGCTGCTCAACCAAAGTCCCACCCATATCCATAACCCACGCCTTGTCCACCAGTGGAATCAGCTCTCTGCGAGGAAAGAAAATAAGATCCAAGCACTAATCACGCAAGTTTACCGCAGATCATGGCTCACAACGAGCAACGTCCTCTCCTTCTTCAAGTTGTTCAGAAGCTTCACTATCTCGGATCGTGATTGCCAATCTACAGCCACAGCATTAAAGAATTCCAAGGTGGCCACAAACATCATACCCAGGCCAGCGAGCGGCTCATCCAGCAGCAGCAGCTCTGGCATGCGGACCTGCAACAAAAAGAGAAGGACAAGAAACGTAGTCCTCGTGAGCAGCGGTGAAATCACAGGTTACCAGTTGCACAGCGAGTGCTAATCGTCGCTTGAATCCATCGCTCAAAGCTCGAGGATTGGTGTTCCAAGATATGCTGGCGAGACCAGTCTGTGCACGTCCATAAAGCTTAATGAGAGAAGAAACGAGATTCTTACGGCAGCTACAGCGGCTTGCACGCGCATTGCTAGCAGTTGTCTGGAGAAAAAGTCCTCTTTTTTGCTTGGCCACCCGAAGCTTAGCTCTTCCAGGATGGAATCCGTGAGAAAGTACCTGCGAGGATCAATCAAGTTGTCAATTTCATTTGTAAGCTTTGAAAAGACGTACAACCTCTCAGGAAACTGGAAAACCAGGCCCACTTTGGCTGTGAGGCTGACTGTGGTGTCCCCTTTTGTGCCGCCTAAAACGATGGAGCCTTGTGTGGGCGACGCCAGGCCGGCTAACATCTGTGTGTGAAAGTGGTGAGGACCAAATGCAAAAACGCTCAAGAAACAAAGAGAGATACCTGAAGCAATGTTGTCTTGCCACTACCGCTTCTTCCAGTGATCAATCCTAGCCTGCAAGAACAATCCTAGGAAAGTCACGAGCCTCGAAACTTTGATATACCTCTTTTCGGGAAGCGAGAAGCTCACGTTGTTTAAAATGGTGGCTTCGGTCCCGGGAGGCTTGAAGCTCACTCTTTTCACCTGCAAAGAAACAGACACACGGAAGACAAAGCTAAGCCAAGCACGAAGAAGAACGAAGGAGAAATCCCCATCACGAGTCTTTCACCTGGAGATAATCCGAATGGCACGCAGCAGCGCTCCAGCAGCACAAGAATCGCTCGCCAGAGCTCGCAATGGGCGCCATTGCTTGCCACAAACCTAGATTAGGGCTCCTGCAGAAATATTCTAGCGGGAAGTCGCTAGATCGACGCTCATGCAGTGAAAATCCAGTGCGATGGGATGCATACGCGATGTGTGAGGATTCACAGAGCTAGGAGGTGAGAGAGTCACACCCCCCAGAATCAACACAAAGATCGCTGCTCATGGATCCCGCGCGCCTGCAAGACGAGATAGATCAAAGCACAGCCAAAGAGCTCGATGCGTGCGAGGCTTGCAATTGACTCTCAAAGCTAGGAGCTGAGGGAATCACACCTCCCAGAGCTCAGAGAATCAAAGGCAAGCCTCACAAAGATCGCTGCTCCTTGATCCCGCGCGCCTGCAAGACGAGATAGATCAAAGCACAGCCAAAGATCTCGATGCGTGCGAGGCTTGCAATTGACTCTCAAAGCTAGGAGCTGAGGGAATCACACCTCCCAGAGCTCAGAGAATCAAAGGCAAGCCTCACAAAGATCGCTGCTCCTGGATCCCGCGCGCCTGCAAGACGAGATCAAAGAACAGCCAAAGATCTCGATGTGTGCAGAGCTCGGTGGTGAGGGAATCACACTTCCGAGAGCTCAGAAAATCAAAGGCAAGCCTCACAAGTCCTGGATCCCGCGCCTGCAAGACGAGATCAAAGAACAGCCAAAGATCTCGATGTGTGTGAGTAGGAGGTGAGGGAATCACACCTCCCAGAGCTCAGAGAATCAAAGGCAAGCCTCACAAAAGATCGGTGCTCCTGGATCCCGTGCGCTTGCAAGCAAGCATCAGGACGGCGATGTGTGTAGGACAACTAAGAGGTGAGAGATCACACCTCCTAGAGCTCCGAGAATCTCACAACGAACGATCGGTGCCACTGGATCATGCGCCCGCAAGCAAACACCAAGCACAGCCAGAGATCGCAGGGAATGTGATGAAATCGAGGAAGATAGATCCGAAAGAACTATCGATGGAAGATGAGACGATCGGTCGCGCAAACACCAAGAACAGCCAGAGATCGCAGGGAATGTGACGAAATCGAGACTATCGATGGAAGATGAGAAGATAGGAAGGCTTGTGGCAGGGAATGGAGAAATAGCACTTGCAAAGACGGAAAGAAAAATGAAAAGAGCATAATAGCGTGCACAACATACACATGGCACATGGTAGGGGGCCCAGGCACACGATTTGTGACGTACGAATAAAATGCCAGTTTCTTTGATCTTTTAACACTGATTGAGCATATGCCAGATGCCGCTTCCAGATCCCGGGACTCCCTGCTAGCTTCACACTGCAGAACTGGGGATCTAGGGCAAGCGAGCAAGCTCTTTGGAGCCTTCAGTCCATGGCAATGGAATCTCCAGGCATGGAAAACGCTGCTAACCGCATATACCCGCTTCGGGCATCTGAGGGATGCCAAGATGCTGTTTGATGGCATGCCTCTGCGCGATGTCGCGAGCTGGAACCTGCTGATGGCGGCGTACTCGCGAAACGGGCAGATGGATCAGGCCAGGAAGTTATTCGAAGGGAATCCGGAGACAGACTTGGCTTCGTGGAATTTGATGATTTGCGCAAATGCCTCAAACGGGCATTATTCCGATGCCAAGCGCCTCTTTCAAAGAATGCCTTTGCGGAGTTTGAGTACATGGAATGCCATGCTATCTGCAGAAATTTGCCTCGAAAACGCCGTGGCTTTCTTTGAGACTTTCCCTGAGCGGGACCTGATCACGTGGACGGCCATGCTGACGTGGTATACCCAAACTGGGCATATGCCGGACGCAAAGAGGACGTTTCACCAAATGCCGGCTAGGGATCTGATTACGTGGAGTGCCATGCTGGCGGGATACTCGCGACTTGGACATGCCGAATCAGCAAGGTTTGTCTTCGAATCCATGCCACAGCACAATCTCATAACTTGGAATGAGATGCTAAGCGCATATGCCCGGTGTGGGCATCTTGATTTGGCCCAGACACTGTTTAGGAATATGCCACTACAAGATCACGTCACTTGGAACTCATTGCTGGCGGCATATGTTCAGAGCGGAAAGATTCTAGATGCCAAGGCAATGTTTCAGAATATGCCGCAACACAGCCTGGTATCTTGGAACACCATGTTATCAGCCTATGCCCAAAGCGGGTATACCATAGAGGCCAGGCGCACTTTCGAGTCCATGGCCTATCACAGCCTAGTGACGTGGAATGCTATGCTTTCAGCCTACAGTGGATTGGGCTGTGTGAAAGAGACTAGCGAGATCTTTCAGAACATGCCAGCAAAAGACCTGCTGACGTGGACGGCTGTGGTTGCTTCGTATTGTCAGGCTGGGCACCTTGAATATGCCAAGTCATTGTTTGACTCGATGCCTGAAAGGGACCTCCAATCGTGGACTGCGTTGGCAGCGGCATATGCTCGTGCTGGGCATCTTGAAGATGCAGATTCCCTAGTGAGAAAAATGCCCGGTCAAGACGTGGTTTCTCACACGGCAGTTTGCTCCGCATATTCCCAGTCTGGGAATCTCGGAGCCTCAAAGATCTTGTTTGATCAAATGCCGGCGAGGAACGAGGTGACGTGGACTGCCATGGTGGCGGCATATGCCCAGAACGGGCATCTGGAATCCGGGAGGCGAATCTTCGTCTCCATGCCTGAGAGGGATCTCATCTCGTGGAGGACGATGCTTCTGGGGCTGGCGGAGAACGAGCGGCCGCACGAAACCCTAGCGGAGTTCAATCGCATGAAGCTGAGATTCTCGCCGCAAGAGCCCTGTTTCATCATCGTCCTCCTGGCGATCGGCCAGATCGGCGACGCGCGCCTGGGAATCGAGCAATTCCTGTGCATGAGGATGGATTATGGGGTGAATCCCATCAAGCAGCACTTCTCCTGCGTTGTGGATGTGCTCGCGAGGGCCGGATACCTGGAAGAAGCGCTCGATCTCCTCGAAAACATGCCATTCGTGCCCGACGCGCTGGATTGGACGTGCCTGCTCGCTGCGACGCGATTCTACAAGCACTCGATCGGGGACGCCGCGAAACGCGTCCTCCATCTTCATCCCCGGAATGGCGCGGGCTACATTCTCGTCTCCAACGTCTTCACGCAAGAGCCCTAAGTGCATTTAATGGGATTCGAACCTCACACCGCCGGCGCGAGGATATTCTAAGGTGCCCTAAAAAGGATTTCACATTATTGCCTTATTGCCCCTGTTATGTTATCTGCCCTTCGTCCTTCGTGAGAGAAGAGGGGGGCATCAATATAAACACTGCAGAGCAAGGGTTTTTGTTTTTTCGTGGTCTCAGCTATGGAGGTGTCGTCAATAACGCCATCGTCGCTCGTCGGATCCTCAGGCGCTACCACAGATTTGGGGGGAGTGAGCCTCCGGCCTGGCGGCGGCCGAGGGTTTCCGAGGTTTGGGACCAGCAACGGTGCCCCCGGCGATGCAGCTGGAGGATTCTTGGGGCCGGGAGGGAGGACGCCCTCCGGATTCGTCTTCCGACCCGCTCCAGCCAAGGTATTGTTGCATGCTCGCCGCAATTAGGTCTGCTCGGGAGCTGGATCGCAGCGCCGATCTGTGCATTCTCTGCGTGATATGACCGATTGTCTTGTGTAGGAGTCGAGGAAGGCCGATTGGGAAAAGCTGCGGTACACAAGGGAGGACTTATTGCAGTATCAAGAGGTCTGTGCTACTTGTGCTCGCTGCGCAATCGCGGAATTTATCATCGCTGTGCAGATCTGTCGCGATGCTACATCGGAGATTTTGAGCTTGGTCGCTGAGGTGAATTCCAGCTTGAGCGAGGAACAAGAATGGAGCCGTCTGGACACAATGGTAATGCGTTTGGCTTTGTCTATGCCTCTGTAAGATGGAGAGTTTTTTTTTACCAGCCCCAGAGACCGGTGGAAACTGATAAAAGAGATTGGCGTACACGCAGTACCTCGGAAGACAAGGTGTCGCTTGTGGACTACTCCAAAGAGAGAGCGTCGAGCCAGTTCAATGCGCGACAGCCACCTCCGGTATGGCATTTAAATCAGAAATCTCCTCTAAGAGCTTGTTTATTACCAGAACGACCGGCAGGCAGCTCCTCCAATAGTGAAGGCAGCTAATCCTTGGGTCCGGAGGGGATCACAGTCTGAGGAGGAGCGGGTGTTTAGAACGGTCAAGGGGTATCGATCGCTTTCCTGATTCTCTTGCGTGGATTCTCACCCCTTTTTTTTCTCAGAATATTGAACAAGTTGACACCTGAAAAGTATGACGTGTTGCTGGAACAATTGTTGCAAGCTGGCATTGATACTGCTGAGAAGCTCAAGGTAAGGCTTTCAATTTCGGCGATATATTTGGTGTTCACTGTTTCCTATTGCTTTCTTGCTGCAGGGAGTTATCTCGTTAATCTTCGACAAGGCTGTTGCAGAGCCGACATTCTGTCCCATGTATTCACAACTATGTGTACATTTGAGCACTACCTTGCAAGAATTTCCTTCTTCCGAGCCGGGAGAGAAGCCTACGACCTTTCGTCGGATTCTGCTGAACACTTGCCAGGAAGAATTTGAAGGCGCCGCTGCATTACGTGCTGAAGTGAAAGAAATGCGATCGCCTGAGCAAGAACTTGAACGCATGGACAAAGAAAGAAAGGTTAAACTACGCACACTTGGGAACATTCGATTTATTGGCGAGCTTTTCAAGCAAAGGATGATCCCCGAGAAGATCGTGCACGCTTGCATTATGGTGAGTTGTGAAATTATGGTTATAACGTGTAACTTCTTCATAATTTCAGGAGTTACTTGGACCGGATCGGACTGCTATTCCTGTTGAAGAAAATATCGAAGCACTTTGCCAGCTTTTTGCGACTGTTGGAAAGCAAGTTGAGGAAAACTTGAAGTCCCGATCGTCGCTGGACGAATATTTCCGGAGAATGAAAGAGTTGGGTAACAACAAGAACCTGCCTTCGAGATTGCGGTTCATGGTCCGCGACGTATTGGATCTGCGTAGCAACAAGTGGATTCCAAGACGAGAAGAGGTATGCTGTGTTTACTCCACCTTGTGTTTCAGGCTTTTAACTATCCCCATCTTTCCCAGATAAAAGCAAAGACCATAAACGAAATTCACGCGGAAGCAGAGCAGAAACTCGGGATACGTTCGAGAAACGGAAGGCCCGGGAGTGCCATAAACAAGGATTCATCGTTCATGCCAGCGGGTCGGTTGATGCCTGGTGCACCCATGCCCGGTGCTCCTGGAGCGCCTGGGGGGCCTCCTCGTTCAATGGGAATAGACCCCGATGGTCCTTGGGAAATGGCTGGACCCAAGAAGAGTAAGCAGCGAGAAGCGGCGGCAGCGGCGGCAGCGATGTCCTATCAGTCGGCAAACATTCCCGGCCGCGTCCCGGGTAGACAACAAAGGGTGCTACCACAGGCAAGTTCGGTATTCTTGGGGAAGTCTAGTCCGCTGCTCGGGACCGGGGGTCCAACGGCCGAAGCGCCACCAGCGGCTCCAAAGCCAGCTCCGGCTCCAGCTCCGACTCCAGCTCCAGCTCCTCCGGTTATCAGTGAAGAGCGAGCCGCGACGCCATCTCCATCATCGGCCATACTGAACAAGAAGTCTGAGTCGCTACTGGAGGAGTACTTCAGCATCATGGACTTGACGGAGGCAACGCTGTGCATCCAGGAGATGAAGTCTCCGGACTATCATCCACAGTTCGTCCAGGTTGCCGTGACACTGGCGCTGGAGAAGCGCGACAGGGAGCGCGAGCTCCTCTTCAAGCTCTTCAACCATCTCCATGCGCAGGGGGTGGTGACGGAGGCGCAGCTCGCGTCGGGGCTGATGCTTCTAGCCGAGCAGCTGGACGAGACCGCTATCGACAGTCCCATGGCGCCCAAACAGATTGGCCAGCTCGTTGCGGCGCTCGCGACGTCGCGAGCTTTGCAGCTGAAGATCTTGCCGGGGATTCTGGAGAAGGTCCAGGACGAGTATGTCCGGCGCCAGGTGCTCGAGGCGGTGCTCAAGGATCTCAAGTCCAGAGATGGCGGTGACAAGGTGATGGTCTCGGCCAGGAGCGATTTGAAGAGCTGCGTCAAGCTCTTGAACGAAGAGGAGGAGGCGCTAATGCAGACCCTACAGAGGGAAGGGATATCTATCTAAGTTTATGGGCGAGTGGTGCACAGGTGAGTTTTGGTCTATTTTTTATCTTTATAATTTTCTTTTTTCTTTTTGGTTTTTCTTGCAAAAGGCAAAGTGTAGCTATGTCTTTTGAACCGGTTTCCTTTTTTCTTTTCGCTTTGGAGAGAACAAAAAAAGAACAAAAGCGGAATTTTCGTTTGATATAGTAATACTATACATTATTATTAAGAGGTAGTTAGAGTGTAGAGTCCTAACGCATAATTATTTTGATTAATCTGCATTAAAACCGTTAAATCCCAATCTAATTAGAGAAAACTTATCAGAAATTTAAACTTATAATTTCTCCTTTTTTTAATAGACATCCATGGTAAAGTAAAGCTTAAATCTATACAAGGAAAACCATTGTGTTCATCCCCTTTGAAAAGTAATATTGATCTCAGTCTGTTAAGGGTTTTAGTTGGGTTGGAGTTCTATGAATGTCTACTCCTTATACAAGTTAATTTTTTTAAAAAAAATAAGTAGAAAGAAACATTAATATTAATTTATAGAGAAAAATTAGAAAATGGTATTAAGAATATGTTGACTGATACCTGAAACTGTTTCAAAACAGAATAAATCTAACTATGGTTTGTTTTGAAAGATTTATTCTAAAGTGAAAATAATATTTCTCAATAATTAAGATTTAATTTTAGAAGATCATAGTAATTTTCTATGCTGTGTAGCAAGTAGCAACACTTGTTTTGCTTTTGAGTTTTTATATTTTTGTAGTTTAATAAGTTATCTATTTCAGTAAGCATTAGTTTTTGGTAGGTTATATCTTCTGGACTTTTCTCCAATACCTTTCATAAGTGGTATACTTGCATAAAGATAAAATTTACAATTTTTTAAAATTATATAAGATGGTAAAGCAATCATATGCTCTAGTTTTTCCCATTCCAAATGCTAACCTACAAAATAAGAGGTTTCAGGCACACTTCCAAAGAAAGAAGTGCCTACATAAAAACCTAATGTGAAAGTCTTTGAGTAACAAGAAATTTAAAGTTCAGATTATCTTACACCCTTTACCATATGATTGCTCCATATTGGGAGTTGAGCCAGGGGAAGCAATACATGTTTTTGCTAGAGCTCCTTTGGCTCAACTTGATTCTCAAGAGCAATTAGTCATGGACAAGGACTTAAGCCAATAGGTATAATGCCGGTAAGAGAGCAGAAGGAGCTTGAAGGAAGGGTGCATCGAAAGGATGATGGCATAGCCATTTTGGTGATGTATTGGTACATTATAAATTTTGGTTAATATACTAACTTCATGTATATTTAGATTACAAGGCTGTACACCTTCTAAAAGGTACTAAAGCAATTGTTTTTTCAATTTTGTAATGTCCGAAGCACATGAAAATATTTACTAAAGGAAATGTTTCTTTAAAGTTTAGGCAATATCCTAAAATATGCTTGAATATTTTAGGTATAATTTATCTTCTACCCTTTATTGCCATTAACTTTTGAGTTAAAACCTTCGACTCCTAAAAACAAAGTATGAGTGTTGGCTTTGCCAACTACCCAACATTTGCTGGGCAAATACCAGTATAGTGATAATTCTGGTCATATATATAATGGATATCTGTCGGTGATCCTCTTGTTCATTTGTTGAAAGTAAAGAATAGAATCAAAATAATGACACGAGTCGCTAGTGCTCAACCCCTTTAAAATATTTCTCTTCTATCTCAAGGTCTTATTCAATGTGTCAATAGCTAAAGCAATCTATTTAATCTTCCGTCGAAAAAGTGTAAACTTGGAGTACTAATCCATGACTTCAAACTTTCAAAGTCTAGGAGGCCCTTGAATAATTCATTGGAATCGATAACGAATAAAACTATGTACTGGTAAAATCGGCATCCCACGGCCAAGATCACCTTAACTCAACGGTGGAAGGTATGTACACGTCGGTCCATCTTTTTCTCATCTTTCCCGTTGGTTTTAAAGCTGATTCGCTTCCAGCTTGAGCGACGAAGGCGAGAGAGAGAGAGAGAGAGAGAGGCGAGTGAGCGAGCGGGCATCTCTTTCTTGACAGCGATCTGCGGCCACTGCGCGCAGCGCAATCGCAGCGCCTGCGCCGTCGCGGTGGTACTACCGTTTCTTTCTCGTCTTTCTCTTTCCCTGACAATCGGGCGCCTGGAAATCGATAGGTTTTGTCACGGTTCTCGAATTCCACCTCGGAAGATCGATATTTCGCGATATTTCGGGGTTGAGTCGCTTTGGCGCTGGAAAATTATGGTCGCGAAATCCCGTGATCTCATAGTTTTCTCTACAACAACGTCAACAATGACCGCTCGCGTGAGAACTCCGCAGGGTTTGAACGTTCTCTTCTTCTGGCGCCCAATGGGAGGTACTAGAGAATCGACCGCGGCTATCTGGTAACCCAGAGCTTTTAAAGCTATCTCTATCTACCTATCTATCTATCTATCTATTAGCTATATAGCTACAAGAGAGAAAATTTGCTATATTATAGGTGGTTTCCAAGCTTAAAGCATAGAAATAGTACTAAAAATCCTCACCAGATCTTGGCTCAAGTGCTACGATATCGTCATGTTGGACTTAAATCTCCAGCCCGCGATGGAAGAAGATGACTATAGTACCACCGAAGCTCAAGTGACCAAAGGCAAGTTCTCCGATTATGAAGAAGCTTTGTCCGACAAGAAGAAGAGCGAAGAACATCTGGATAGTATCGAAGAGAAGCCGTCCCAGGAGTGCTTGTCCGGAACTTCCAGCTCGGGTGTGGTCAACCCAGCAGCGCAAGCCACCAGCAGCTTATCCGAGTCCGAGGATACCGGAGATGGCATGACTTCCAAGGACCCTCTACTGCTGGCCACCGATTCTTGCGCTCCGGCAACTCCCTGCGATCAATTTGGGAGCGAGAGCGATGCTTCTCTCCTTCTGGATGTGGCTGCTGCGGATCCAGGAAGCTCTGAAAGTGAAGCTGAGGAGTTCCCTCTCTTTATCACACGCCAGTTTCTACCTTTGGAGCCACTCTTCGCAAACGCTTCTCCAGCGATCTTTGCAACAGCAGCAGATAGTGGGAAGGACGAGAGTCTTATGATCAGCACGGTAATGATGGGGAAGCGTCAGTTCGGCTGCATCGATGCCATTACTTTGGAGCTGCTCGATCCAGTCAGTGCTCCTCCTCCTCCACCAGCTCCAGCTCCAGCTCCAGCGAAGAAAAGTCGACGCGGTCCGAGATCCAGGAGCTCACAGTACCGAGGCGTGACCTTCTACAGGCGAACTGGACGATGGGAATCACACATATGGTGAGCGAAAGTTCCTGGCTATCATGAAAGTTCTCTCACTTTTGCTTTTCGGCTCGCTTGGTCTTTTGTTTTCAAGGGACACGGGAAAGCAGGTTTATCTCGGTGAGCTTCGATCCATTTATTCTCCCGACGCTGCTAGCTAATGGGTGTCATTTCTTTTCCCAGGTGGCTTTGACACAGCTCACGCTGCCGCCAGGTAAGCTTTTCAAGTGCTCGAACTTGGAAAGCACACATAATAGAGAGATCCTACGTACTGTAAATTGTGCAGAGCTTACGACAAGGCTGCAATTAAATTCCGTGGCATGGATGCCGACATCAACTTCAACTTAAGTGACTACCAAGAGGAAATCAAGCAGGCAAGTTACACTTTCTTTTCTCTTGCTTTACTTTCAAGAGTTGTTTATAGTGCTGATGGAAACTCCTGGCTTTTATAGATGTCCCCGCTCTCCAAGGAAGAGTTTGTGCATATACTTCGCCGCCAGAGCACTGGCTTTTCTCGTGGCAGCTCAAAGTATCGCGGGGTGACTTTGCATAAATGTGGAAGGTGGGAGGCAAGAATGGGACAGTTCCTTGGAAAGAAGTGAGTTTGGGCCGCGGGAACATAACTAACTCACGACTCTTTTCTTGGTTTTGCGCCAGATACATCTACTTGGGGCTTTTCAACACCGAGGAAGATGCGGCGAGGTAAAATGCTACAAAAGCTACATTCCTTTGTGTTAAGTTTGATTTATATGATTGCCTCAAATCTTATGCAGAGCATATGATCTTGCGGCTGTTCGTTGCAATGGCGGAGAAGCTGTGACCAACTTTGATCCCAGTAATTACACTCAATACCAAGGTAGTTTGCCACTTTTGCTCTGTTTGGGTTTGAGATTGTTGTGCATGTGTCAGATCACCTGCAGCTTAATCTTGGTGGATCATGCCAACTGGAAAAATGAGGCCAGTTTGAGCAGGTATGATAGTTCATTTCCTATTACAAAACTTTCTTATAGCAAGAATAGCAGTACAAAAAGATAATCTTCGAAAGAAAAAAAAAGCTTTTGTAATATTGTAAAATGTACATTAATGAATTAATGAATTGTAAGTTATAGAGGAAGTAATTGGACTTTTTATGTATACATACTAATACTAATATATATGTGTGTATGTGTGTATGCGCGCTTGTGAGTGCAGATAAATGTGCACATTGGATTAGCCCAAAATCCTCAGCTTATATAGAGGAGTGTGGTCCTATTATAATAGCATGCAAACTCACATCATTCCCTCTTTGGAACAGTAATATTAGGTTGATATTCCATAATTTTTGTCACTTATTTGGCTTTACCCAAGAAATTAAAAAATATCTACAACTTATATTTTATATGGCAAAAGGTTTTTCTGTTAAATATACTAGGTTCATTTTTTAGTGAAATATGGCTGGAAATAAAAATAAAAAAAATTATAGAGATAAAAAAGAACTTTTAAAGTTTATATTAATATGGAAATGGTATTAAGTAATGAATTAATCTATTGTAAATATAGTAATATTATTTATTCTATAAGAAAATAATTTGCTACATATCTTATCTATTAATTTTTCAGTTAAGAAATTTAAATAAAAGCCAATCTGCAACATTTTTAATGTATCATGGTTCTATGAAAAAAATATTAACCTGATAAAATTTCAAATGTAATAGAAATTATGAGAGCATATATTTCCATGAATTATAAATTTATCTAATTTTAGAAATTATAGCTATAAAGTCTATAAATATATGTATGTATATGTATTACCTTTCTCTAAAATCCTAGATGTAGTTACAAGAATTAATAGAATTATGTTTTGGGAAGATATAAAAAAATTATATATACTGTAATTTACCATATAAAGAAAAAAAATTTTAAAAAATTTTAAAAACAGAAATTTGACTTTAGTATAACTATACATATAAGTATTAAATTACAACTATGTGCAAAATTTTAAACTATATTTAATTAAAAAGTAATGTTAAAATATAGAAAATATAGGATTTGATATTAATAAAATACTTTATTTAAGATTGATATTATGCAATATTGTACAGTTTATTAATTTGTCAAATCTTGTAAATAATGTGCAGAATGAAGAATATGAGATGCAATAGAGTTTAGTATATAAGCATACTATATGCTATTTGCATATAGCAATGTTTGGTTTACTTAATAATATTTTAATATTATTTATTTATCCATTTGATAGTTACAAGATTAATGTTTTCACATAAGACTGTAGAATAGACTAATATATACCAGAAAGTTTTATAACTATAACTACAAGTTTATTCTAAATGAATAACACCTATTAGATGGTAGAATATCCCAAAATATCTAAATATATTTTAGGTATATCTACTCCCAAGCAAACAAAAAATTCAATACATTCATTTCAACTTTTGCTAAATTAATTTTAGTTTTACATTTGAATGTTTTTCTTGAATGATTAAGTTTATTTTTATTGAAGAGTGTCTATTTTTTTTTTAATTTAATTTTAAATGTCAAATAAGAATTAAAGATAGTCTTTACAAATGAGATAGAAGTAAATATTAGGCAACATCTACATTTGTTTTGTTTTGGTTGTATATGTATGGCAACTAATATGTGCTTGCGTATGAGAGTATTATATATTTACATAAGTGTGGATTTTTTTATTTATTTTGAGTTGCATAAAAAAATATAATGCATATAATCAGTTTATAATTGTTATATAAGAAATCAAAATGTGATTGTGCATATAATATTTTTGTTATAGCTATGCCATATATGCATGGTGTATGATACCTTAGATTGCAATGTAAAACTAATGTCACATTATCCCAGACAACATGACGTCATTGCAAATCTTACAAGGGTTTTATGTGAGCAAGTATGCAACATAGATTTTACATAAGCAAGAATGCAGTACTAATTTATATAATGTGAGATAAATATTCCACAACTCTCCTTTTCCTTTTACAATGTCATGTAAAGATGAGTAATCTATGGAGTAATGGGACAAGAAGCACCATCACTAAATTGTGGTATTGAATGGAAGATTCTCATCTCATCACTGCACAAATTACAATGGAGTGTCTAGTTGATACTTTCTTAGTCATAGCCACTAGCTTTTATTCCTTTAACAAGCATGCAAATGTTAATTTTTATATTGATTAGCCATAAGTGTATATGTAACTTTGTTTCTCTTATTGATCTTCACCAAAGCCTTTGCATCTTTGAGATGCCTGGCCCGCTTGACTGCATCCATCAAGCGCCCAAAGAACTCTTTGCCGAGCATATAGATAGCTCAGCTCTAGAGGCATAAATTTGAAAACCATCATTGCCTTATCTAAATGGTTTATTCATCCCAAGAGATCAATTACTCCATGGTAGTACTCACATCCAAGGTAGATTCTATACTTCATCTTCATTGCATATAAACACTCTTTTCCCTGTTTTACAAGCCCCACATGGCTAGAAGTGCTAATGATTGACAGAAATGTAAAGCTATTGGGATGAAGGCTGAGATCTTGCATGTTATGAAAGCTTTCAAACATGGAGATAGTGTCTTCTTGGGGACCATATCCAGCTACAAGTGCCATCTAGGTTAAAAGATCTTCTGACAGCACCAAATTGAAAACTTGTTAAGCAAAGACCACACTTCCAACTTTGCAATAGAAGTTGATTAGGCACATCACTATGACTTGATTGCTCTCTAGTCCATAGTGGCAACTTTTTGCATGTGCTCTTCATCCCAATTGCCAAGCCCCAATGTTGCTGCAAGCTTTGAGCCCCATTGGCACTTTTGCTTCTTTGAGTTGCCTAATAGTGCAAAACTATACCTTACTCCAATGCCACCAGTTTCATGAAAATTCCATCCATCTCCTTGCTTTCTTCTCTAGTAGCAAGACTCACATAGCTTCGAGAATTTAGGATATAACTGTTAGATTGTATGGCTTAAAATAATTCTAATATTAAAACTTTAAGTATATGATGTTAAGGTTGTTTATTGTTAAAGGAGTTTTATGGTTGATGCTTATGCTTTTTCTGAAGTTCCTCTCTCTTCTCCACTCTCTTCTAATATTTATGACGAGGGCCTATCGAGTAATATAACCAACCAAGATTTTCTACTTTAATAACAAAGTAACCATAGGATCACCTTTTGATAATGTCCAAAAACCATGCAAATATGCATAAAGCTTTTTGAAACCCTAAATTGCTACTAAATACTCCTTCTTTAATGTGGAGTAGATCAATTTTATTGGTTGTAATGTATGGTTGATATATGTAATAAGATGATGTTGATTAGACACACTCAGGCTTTTTTGCATCAACACACCTCCAAGATTGATATTAAAAACATCCACATTTAAAATAAAAGGTCAAGTGTAAAAGAGAATGAAGAAATAAGAGCAAAAAGCATAATTATGAACATTGAGCAAAACATTGCTAAAAAATTTTGCTTTCAAAGACAAATTGCAATGCCTCTTACCTCCACTAATGTGAGTGCTTAGAAATAAGTATATTAATTAGGGTTTAGACCCTTACTTATATGAAAAAATGGACGGATTAAATTCAATCCCAAATTAATATGCTATAGTACTATAATTAGCATATTACCTAGGTAAGATAAGTTTAAACCTTCAAAAAATGATCATCTGTAGATACAAGATAAAACTATGTTATACTTAACAAATTTTTCTCAATAAAAACTGATAAGAAAATCTTACTTAAAATATTTAGATATATTTATTAATCATAATTTTTACAATATTTATTTAAAATTACAAATATGCAATATTGGTACTTATATTACTAATTTCACAACTCAACATTTGAGATAAAAAAATTAATTAAAAAGTCCACACTCTCAAGAGAACACATAAACTCTGGAAAACAACATCATCAAAATTTTGCATCATCAAAGAAGTGGACTTCCCACTTAATAACAATTGTAAAACAAAGACTTTTAATAACACTCACAGCTAGGATACATGCTCAACTTAAAACTTTAGCAAAAGTGACTCATCTTTTGAAACAAGAGAATACTTAACACTAGAATTGATCAAAGACTTTCGACCAATGAAACAAAATAAAAATCTCAACTTCACTTATACGCTTAACATCTAAACTAATATAAAGAGGAGAAAACACTCAACTCAAAACCAAACTAAGAATGAAAATTATAAGAGTCACAAATGATTGATATATCAAGTGAAGGAAATATTCTAAATGAGGAAACAAACACTAAGAACATATAAAGGTGGTTCAGGCTAAGAAATATCAAAAAGTTGGGAAAAATTTGAACACAAAAAAAAAGGATCAAATGGCTTATAAGCTTTCATGAGAAATATGGTATCCAAAATAAGTTGTGTTTTTGGACCCAAATACACACTTTAACCACTTTAGCTTTAAATCAATGTTTTGCAACTGATTTAATAGTTTACAAATATCATAAATGTGCTCTTCTCATGTCCCCTCTAAATGGATGAAGACATCATTGATAAAGCCATTAGTCACCTTTAGCTATTGCAAAAAACTTTGTCTATCATCTGTTAAAAAGTTGTTGAAACATTGGTTAAACTAAATGGTATTAGAACTCGTAAAAACTAAATGGTGTACGAAAAACAATATTATGAACATTTTTCTCAACCATCAACACTTACCAGTACCTAGAAGCAAGATTTAACATAGTGAATCAACAACTTCTCCTTAAACAATTTAGAAGATCAATAATGTGAGGAAAAGGGTACATATCTAGGATAGTCACTTTGTTTAATAAATAATAGTTAATGCATAAGCAAATACTTTTATTAGGCTTCATCATAAGATGAAGTTCATATGCCCAAGGACTCTGAGACTTTCGAATAACACCCTTCTCTAACATTTCCTTAATGTTTATGAGTAAAATCTTGATTTTCTTTAGTGACTAATGTCAAACAGAAACCTTGATGTGAGACACAAAATCCCTAGGCCCCCAAAGTGGAGCCGGAAGGGCTCCACGTGGTAGTGGCCGAAGCGAAAGCCAAACGAGCGTAACACGTTTGGACTAAAAGCTCCGACTTGGAAGGTCGAGAGTGGGAGTGGAACTCCCAACAAAGTGCT